GCACTTAAAATTTGATTGATCAAATTTATCTAGACCCTATGTTGAGGGACATAAAATACTCAACAAAACATGGCCCCGAATAGCATAGGGACTTTATTTCCAAAAACACTTCTATGCCCAGTGGTTGGCAACATCCAAGAATGCATTTCAACTTCATAAGCAGAATATTCACAACTGCTAAGAGAGTGCACAAATAGTATTATTCTTTATCTTTGAAAAGGAGCCCAATGTAGCACAGTTATTAACAGGGGAGTGATATTCTTTGTACTAACATGATTTTTTATAAAGTACTGGGCATGAAGTATATAGTTGGGCATAAAGTATATAGCTGGGCATGGTGGCACATGCTTATAATCTTGACACTCAGGAGGCTGAAACAGGGATTGCTGTGATTTCAAGGCCAGCCTGGTTCACAAAGTGAGTTTTAGGCCAGCCTGAACTGCATAGCAAGACCCTGTCTCAAAAAAAGTACTGTACAGATTATTCATCTCACTTTCAATTCCTAGATGTCTTTTGTCCTTTTACTTCTCCTTGAACTCACTGAATTGCTTATCTTCAGATACAGTTTAGGATTCCTGAATATAAGTGCATCTTAGACTTGTTGGGTGTATGTAGAGCATCTTGGAGACTTGTTAGGAATAGAGATGCCTGAATTCTATCCATATAAACCCTGTAGGTTCATACTCCCCTATCCTCAACTTTTCTTTCCAGCAAGTTCAGAATTTGCAAATATTGCTTAGTTACCTACAGAAGGTCCCTCTGATGACTGCAGCAGATGATGGAGTCATGTAAAAAAATTTATTTTTTCATTAAAAATAGAGAGACTTCTTTAACAAGATCTCATTTTTCCAAGGTCTTCAGGTTATCTGATGTGTCTTAGAGTTTTAGAACCATTATCTAAAATATGAGAAAAAAGAACTAGAGAGTTTTCCAGGTTCCAGGACAGTTCAAAGACAGAGAAATCAGTGCATTAATCATAGCTCTTGTCAAAATGGAAATTGATTCCGGGGGTTTGGGGTGGGATGTGGGATACTTCCTTCTTAACATTTTCAGCAATGCTGATGCTGCCAGTCCCCAGAAAGCACTCTGAGTAGCAAGGTGTAGGCTCACAGGCTGGGGAGTTTCACAAACTTGTGTCAAAGCCTCGCTTCACTACTTTTATCAGATGTGTGATCCTAAGCTAATTACTTAGTTTCTCTGATCCTTCCTTTTTTCTTTTTTTCTTTTTTTTTGTGTAAAATGAGGATAGATAGCTAGGAGGGAAGAACAGAAATGTTTCCAGAGTTTTGTTGTGAGAATAAATGTTCTAGTGCACAAGCACTTGCTCGTCAGCACTATTATAGTGCCAAACATGTAACAAAGGTCTAATACATGCTTAACTTACTAGTGATCCCTACTGGTAAGACTTTATATAACTTTTCATTTCAGGAGTTAAGCAACTAGCCACATGCAAAACTATCTGAGTGACTATTTCTGGCCTGGTAATTATGTGACTTGATTTGCTGCATTACATCACCAAATCATAGCTTGGTCTCAACTATGTTTGCTCTAAATGGACTCGAGCTGAGTGTGATAAGGCATGGGATTGAGCGCTCCTTATTCAGATCATGGGTGCTCACTGGGCTATTCCTTACCCACTGGGTCTGGAAATGCAGAATGAGCCCCAGACATTTCTGCTCCACAGTGGTTGCTATATCCAGTTTATGTTTATGAAATACATATAATTTTAAGGCATTACCAAGAAAGGGCCTTCCTTCTGTGGTTGATTTGTACAGTCATATTTATACTCTTATTACAAGTCAGCATTTTGGGCTCTGACTCCCCTGGGGTCTTTATGGCTTGCTTCTGGGTCAGTTAGGTTATAACACTAGTCAAAACTGCTGACCATGTCATTCCAGGCTGGTAGATGTGGCTTCCTTGACTTTCATGCCAAGAGTTTGATTGGATTTAGGGGTGCCTGGAGCAGAATCCTGCTTCTCTGAAAGAAAAAACTTAGTTCTGTGGCTTGCATGTTTTAAAGGTTTTGAGTGTTCTGGAGCGATGTGCTGGGATAGCCACAGTTTGAGAACGGAGTCTGTGACCAGGACAGCCAGCATCGAGGAGGCCGAGGTCGAGGAGTTGACTGTGCTGAGGTCGAGGAGTTGACTGTGCTGTAACATACATCCTGGAGTTATAGAGCAGCAGAGTGCAGGGCCCAAACAACAGGATGTTCAAATAGTTAACTTTTGCCCTCAGCTCTGTCAGAACAAGCAATCACCTCTGCTTTCTCTAGCTTATATTTCCTCTTCGAATACGGTCCATATCCTAGCCTGTCACTGGGTGCCCCAGATTGTGTTTCTCTGTGAGTAGACCTCTGTGGCAACCAGAGGGGATTCTCAAGGGTGTGACTATTCTTTCATTAAAGACTCAGTCTTACCATTCTTTGTAAACTATCACAGCCAAGATTTTTATTTTAAATTACCTTCTAATTATCTGCTTTCATAAATATAAATAAAGGCCAAATTGCTGTTTTTTTCTTTTCTTGTTCTTCTCCCCTCCTCTATTTGGCACTAAGGAATTTGCAGATAGGGCACCAGTACCTATCAAAAATTCCTCTGATATGAGCAGGTAATGGGGGCAAGAAAAGAGGTTTACTGCCCTCTTTACTTATAGGACAAGGCCTAATCCCTACAAAAAGGAAGTAAGTCTATACGTCCTATCTATCAGAAGAGAAACCCTGTGCATTTACTTCCCCAGAGAAGCAATAGAAACCCTCTTGGATTTCCTGGTGAGTGGCAAGGAGTTTGGTCATGCTGGACTCAGAATTGCTGTGCATGACAGCCTCAGATCCTCCATCTGGGGCCATTGTCCAGGTGGCTACTGAGAGAAGAACCACAGGACTAGGCTTGGGAGTAGCTTTGGTGAGGGAGCTGTTTGTGCTTGGCCCATTTTCTGGACAGAGATAGTGGGCTTGAAAGAAGAAAGTTGTATAGATTGAGATGAAGAAAGGTACTTTCTTCATTTTAAAATGTAGCCCTTGTGTAGAAAGGAGACATTTAAACTGAGAAGAAGCCGTATCATATTGTAAGAAAAAGACCCACCATAAGAAAGACCTTCCTGTGAGAAAAAGAATCAAATCCCAAGCCCAATCACAGAAGGAAGTAGAGAACAGGGCAACAAAGACTTGCTCTATAGGCAAGGTTAGGTCCTCTAGGAAGGGGAATGACAGTGTTTTACAACATATGAAAAGTATATGGCAACTAAATTTTGGTTAAAGAAGCTAAACTTCGGTTAAACAGAAAGATTTAAAAATAGAGAAAATGCTTCTGTTTCTCATATAAGCCAAGTTATTTCATTAACATACCTGTGTTGAATATTTAGCTAAAGGTTTCATAGCAATTTAAAAAAATAAAATGCACACTGAAGAGCAGGATTCCAATGTCTTTTTTCCTTTATTCAATTATTATTTTTTTTAGAGATAACCCACTGTGGAAGCCCATAGCTTTGCCAGTAAAAACAACATCCTGCCATCGTTAAAAGTATGTTACAATTTGTGGCTGTGTACCCAGGATTTGACATGGAGCGGTGTTCTATTTCAACCCGATTTAATTATATGCTCCTTTTATATATCGTAGATGGCTCACACTAGCAGAATTGTTTTGCCTGGTGAAAAACTGGCCATGACTTGTCATAATGGGCTGGTTTACAGAACCACTGAAGTATAGTTACTGCCCATCATTCGGGAATTATGGCACCATAACAGCCCTTTATTTACATATACTGCTGAGACAGTAAAAACAGCAAATAGATTTCTTAAATGGAGAGGGCAGCAATTTGCCCCCAGGGTACTTGGCCCTCATTGTGGCAGTAACATATGCAGGTCTAAACAACTTTGTTGTCTGCATTTCGGCAGTGCATCATTTCATGGACAGTTTGTAACATTCTAATAATAAAATAGACTCTAAATTTGGAGTTGGGCTTCACGAACATTAGATGGTAGCGCACACGGCAGGATCTCTAAGTGATTTGTGAGGAGGGTTTAAATTTGCTACTTGCACTGCTGCTGAGCGGCTCCGCGAAGGGCTGAAGTGAAGTCAGCAGTCAGGCTGCTGGGAGGTGGCGGCAAGCTTTCAGGCGGGAGCCTGCGTGCCTCGCTTACCTTAAGACAGACACCGCATCTGGGTAAAGGCAGGGCTTCTTTGATCTTCACACTCCGAGGTCTTAAATAGTCTTGACTTGCCTCTCCTCAAACCACAGAAATATTTATAACTCTGTGTGTGCGTGTGTGTGTGTGTGTGTGTACACGTAGGCGCGCACCTGTGCGCAGGTGTGTCTCTGTCTGTCTCTCCCTCCTTCAAGATGTACCTTTGGGGAAAGTCACTGCTGGCCCTCCTGAGGTTTCACAGAAGCTTCCTTCTCCTCATTCCTGACTTCCTACTCTATATGGAACCGTCACTAGACTTGCTTTTAATACGCACATACCCAAAGCACGCTGCAAACGCCTCCGTTCTGTTCCTGTGCCTGTGGCGGCAGGTGCCCTCCCGCTCTTCCTCAGCCTCTAGTAAAGTCACGTCTGCGCTGGGCGAGCCACTCCAACCTAAAAGGGTTTGCGCTGACCTCGTGGCCAGGACCGCTACTCAACGCTCTGCAGCGGCCGGCATGCGGCTCTCGAAGGCGCAGCGTCAAAGGGGCCCTGTTAGTCCAGGCTCCTGCGATCTGGACAACGAGGGTGGAAGGGGAGGTGCAGACCGGGTGATGTCTACGGTCTGCACCGCGCCTGTGGAAGGCTGCAGATGGGCTAAACGGGGTGCTCCTGTAATGGCCAAGGCCTGTAATTTCTCCGAGACCACAAAGAGTAAGACGCCCTGCCAGCGTCTTGGGGCCTGCACTGCTCTCCAGGAGAGCCCTCGGGTCGGAGAAGGCGGCGGGGCAGTGCCTCCTCGGGCGCAGTGCACCCCACTCCCCAGGACGCCGGCGCCCGCTCCCCCCGCTCCCCAGGGCGCCCGCGCACGCGCACTCACCCCCGGACGGCAGGGCCGAGCAGCTGCCTCCGTGCTGGCAGGGCCCGCGCTCGCACGCGTCGGGGTAGAGCACGCAGCCCAGCTTCAGCTCAGTCAGCCCCACGACCTCGGCGAAGCTGCTGCGTTTGTTCTGCAGCGGCAGCTCGTTGTTGTTCAGCACCACGGCGTCCAGGCAGCCCTGGAAGCCGCCGAGCACCTGGGTGACCCGCGTGTCGGTCAGGCTGCGGATGTTGTCCGCCTGCACCAGCGCGCCGAAGTAGATGGCGCTCTCGGCGCTCAGCGTCTGGAAGTAGAGAGGCGCCCTGCGCCGCTCCACGTAGCTGTCGTCCAGGGACAGGCTCGTGAAATTGCGATTGAGCTCCAGGAAGACCGAGTGCCAGCTCCCATCGTTGACCGTACGGCCGGAGATGCCCAAGATCCCGGGGCCGCTACCGCAGTCCAGCTGGAACCACAGCTTGCCGTCCACAATCTGTGCGGGAAGGGAGACCAGAGCCCTTTGAAAGTTGCATCTGTCGGGATATTCGCGAACACCGCGATCCTCAACAGCCTGAGAGCCTGACAGAATGCTCCAGATGGGCATTGCTCTTGATTCAGTCATAAATCTGCTGTGGTTTGATTTTAACAACCAGCAGCCCCCAACCCCCTATTACCTGCCAAAAAAAAAAAAATGCGTGCCTGGTACTTTATAAATCTTCCGGTAATTAGTGATACTAGTTCAGCTTTAGAAATCCGCAGTTGTATTTAAGAATGCTTCTGTTCTTTGGATTTCCGCCCTTTAAAAATGCAGCAATAACATATTTAGAAGTGTGCTCACTCTCTGCACCTTCCTCAGACATATTCAGCACGGGAATGCTTTGTGTGGACCCATTAGTACTTCCTGGACGTCTACCATGTGGTAAACTGTGTGCCCATTGCTGTGGAGCAGATAATTATCTCTGTGCTCCTGGGGGTTATGGTCTGGGAGAGGAGACGACCATTTATGCATACATATATATCCCCTGAATAAGTTTATGTGAGTGCGCTGTAGGGGAGAGAAAGATGCCAGGCAGAAATATAGATTCCTTACTTCCCAGCTCTATGTATATTTTAGATTTTAAAACCTCTCTATATTAAACATCAGTGTTATTCTTAACACTGTCTGTTGGTATGCTGCTTATTATCACAAAGTGCTCAGGGCTTGGGCATTTGCTTAGACTAGATGCATGTTTAACAACATCTGGCTCTGCAGAAGGATCTTCTGCTTAGTTGTTTAAGCTTTGTAAGTGCTCCTAGGCCCTGGTCTAGGGTGCTGCATTGAAGACTTGCCTGCTTCTTTTGTTGCAGCGATGCAGGGAAGGCCTCTAACTCTCCCTGGGAGACTAACTCCGGGGACATCACACACAGGAGAGAAAGCGTGTACCAGTGGAGGGTGCTGACTAGCAGCTGCTGAGCAGGGATTAATTCTCCATGGAGACCCAGGCTCAACTATTTCTGAGGAGTTGGTCTGGCCTTTGGCTCCTCTATGGTTAGCCAGGCCTACATCATCTCAGAAACGATAGGTGGCTTTAGGATCATAGGAGTGAGGCTGGGCCCCTGTCTAGCCAAGTTTATATTTGACCATAAAGGGATTCACAGCCTGAAGCTGTAAGACAAAAGCTTCTTTTCTGGCCCATGCCTATGACCCCGCAAAAAGATCCTGTGGAGGCCAGTGTCAGAGTCATGAAAGGAGTGGCTGTCTCTGAGGATCTGCTGGTTTAAAGCACAGGCATTTATGGAGAGAAGAAAGGGGAAAAAGGAAAAGAAAGAACATGAAAGGATGACACAGACTTCCAGACCACTAACAGCTAAGGAGATATAAATATCAACTGAATTCAGAGAAATAGGTTGAAGCAGTCTTTCACAGTGTGTTTTACTCATGGTAGCCTTAGCTATCATCACAGCCTTACTCACTCTCATATATAGTGTTTCTCTGTCTATGTTTCTGCACGTTCCAAAGACAACTAGTTCATAGAAACTTTCATTTCTGCCTTTCATATGCCATGGGTTTTCTCATCCTGGCAGCCTCTAATTTGCATACAAAATTATTAGGGTTAGGCCACATAAAAATATGTGTATAAAAAGGCTAAGGGCTTTGAGAACCAGAAAACCCCTAGGAAATTAATAATGCTGAATCTAATTCAGGCTCTGTCAGACACCACCCAGGTCACTGCTGAGAATGGCTTTGCCCTCTGGGTTTGTGTTTGGAGAGCAGAGAGCAGAAATATGGCTTATTTTATAAGAATACCATGCCCACTGTGTGAGGAGTGGAGACAAATTTATTTATTTCCTTTCCAGAGAACTTACACATGTAATCTAATGCAATTGCTTTTGCATTTAAAATTTTTGTTTTAACAAATAGACTGAATGGATATTGTAAATCATATGAGTGTACTTGCTCAATGACAACTCCTGGATAATATCCATATTTGTATTTCAGTGTAAGTAATAAAATAATCAAATGTGACTTTGGAGACTACCTTCTCCCACCACAGCCCATCTGCTATTTTGCCCCATGGCTACAAAATGCTGGCCTCAGTCTATTGTGCCAAATCTGGTGGTAAGGATGAGTCATCCAAGTTTTTGTAGAAGGATGTTGACTTAATATTACTGGGTTCACTCCTCCTTCCCATAGCTACCCCTTCTCCTTTGTGTAATTCCAAGTTACAAATATACCCAGAAGGATTGACCTGACTGATGTACTCACATACATACAAATTTTGTAAGGAACATAAAAATCCCGTATGAACAGAGAACTCTTAAGATTCCCTATTTTTTTGGAAAAAATACAGCAACATTGTTAATGGAAGAAGCTAGATGGCTATACATTTCTTACCATTTTACAAAGACCATTTTTATCTTTATAATTGTAGGACTTTGGAATTATCAGTCTTGTTTATATCATAAATCACAATGCTTATGCCAAAAGTTACCTTGTGAAAAGTTAATGCTTTTTGCTATTTCAAGGTGTACTGGGGAGAGGGAGAGAGAGAGGGAGAGAGAGAAAGAGAGAGAGAGAGAGAGAAGAGCGGAGAGAGAGAGAGGGGAGAGGGGGGAGGGAGAGAGACAGAGAGGCCTGGAAAATATACTCTTGTCATAGTTAGCTTTTCTCTGTGTGTAGAATAGGGTCTGCCTAGTTTTACACGATGTTTCTTCTCAAAGGATAAAGCTTTCTCAGATCAGGATGAACTTACTTTGATAGAAAGTGAGATGAGCATGAAGCTGTGAGAAAAGTCTACAATGCTAAAATGATGTGCTGGGCTGGGACTGCTTGGTAATCTGTTCAATGACATACATAATTCAGTGGGTGTTGCCCTAATGTTATAAAATATTTAGATCCTTGGGGCTGGTAGAAATCAGTGATGCGCTTTAACCCAGATGTTCATTGGCTTGGGGCTTGGAATACAAGAAATCAGAGATGTGAAAAGTCAGTTTTGTAGGAAAGTAGGATTTTGAGTAAAAAAGGTTATTTATGGCACAAAGCCTTACTGCTTCAAATACTTGGTGTGTAGCTCTAGCAAATGTAGCATAATTATACAACTTGTAAGAAGATTATTAAATATTCTTTGAAAAGGAGACTTAAAAAAAAAGGAGACTTTAAAAACCTATATTTCAAGGCTGCTAATAGTAGCTATTTGACACATGCTCAAAAATATACCTTGAAGAAATAAACAAAAGGATAAATGATTATCCTAGCTTTCAGAACCCCTTCCTTTGATAAATTCTTGTAGTGCTCTGAACCTGCTTGCCTCTGTCACACTCTCAGACCCCCTCGTGACTAGCTATCACTTTAGAAAGTCATCAAATCTTGGAGCTTTAGCCTCCTCAAAAGCAAATATGAACACTCTTACCTACAAAGAGAGGAGTGAGAGTGCAAAATATATGTATGTGAAAGTTCATTCTAAACTGTAGGTCTTTTTTTTAAATTAGTGTTTCAAAATGTACTTATTGTCAGGTAACACATTACTCAGAGATACTCTTACATAGATCTTTGAAACAAATTTTGTAGCAAGTCAATGTAATAGTCTTTTGGATTATCATGGAAAGATCTGGCTATACCAAATGAGCTGTTTTACAGCCCAAATGAATTTTCCTTAACTTTCTTTGAGACTGGGGATATCAAGCTGGCCATGTCTGAGAACCATCAGAATGAGGCAATTTTTCATATGTAACCTTCCTAAAAGATAAAAGGCCTGATATTTCCAGGTCAACAACCAAGGTATCCTGTTTTTTTTGCCATACTAGAGCCAAAAGACTGACATATAGAAAAACTTGTTCTCTTGATAATTTCTCCTTATATCTTGTCTAGTGATCTAACTTGTTTCTTTCATAGGTGTGAGAAGAGTCACAGAATCCATTCTACCATTGCCTTGGCTGCCAGGAAACTCAGTGTTGTGATTTGTGTTCAATTGAAATAGTTCCTTCTGACCCTATTTAAAAAAAAATAATGGTGTTCTTCCCCTCCCTCCTTCACCGGTCAGCTTTTAACCTTTTATTTTCATCATAATGGTGCTTTCACTTTTGGTAAGCCATTTTTCCACATTTGGGTGTTTATGGTAAGCCTTGAATCTCCTTTGGAAGGCAGGGTATTAATGGCACATAGAAGAATGAACTCCTTTTACTGCTGCTGAGAGACAGTAGTACTTCTGTCTAAGAGCATTTACATTTCTCATGGTCTCCATGCAATTCTTTAACTGTCTTAAGGGGTCCCCTTAACCCCATGGATTATGACCTGTTTTTTAAAGAATATGCACTGACTGGGACAATGTAAACAACCAAGAGGTATAATTTAAACAAAGCATTTTAGCTTAGTCATTGAACCAAAGTACAAGGCACATACTGTACATAAAGCGAGTGAAATTAAATCTTTCACAAGGGTACAAATGCTAAGTAAACAGATTCAAATCCCCTCAGGGGATATCGCTGGTGACTGCAGGAGAATATCTGCAATAGTTCAGTACCTCTGTGCCCTTCTTTGGGAGAACCAACATATGAAAAGTAAACTTATAGAACATACAGGGTGAAGGTGATAATTCATATTACAAGGGGTTTAATGACCATGTCTCTTCAAGTAGTTTAAGAATTTTATGTATACAGATGGAACTTGCATAACTTTCAGAAACATGCTTGTTTCCTGAAATACAATGCACCTTAGGAGCTAGAGCTCCCTAGAATGATTAATTATTCTTTCCCATCCCAAGGGATATGCATATTTCAGACATTTGCCAGTGAAGTGTCTGATGACAAGCTCCATTTTAGGATCAAGCCATTCAGGTACCATATTTTGGTCCTCTCTCAAATTTAGCACTCAATAGAGATTTGCTAACAGAAAATATCTGCCTCATAAGAACGTTGTCAACTAGCAGCCTTGTTTCAGCTTAAAGAAGAAGGAATTATCAGTCAGACATAAGGAAAGCCACAAGGAGAAGCAGCTCTGAATGGTAAAGTTTTTTG